TCTCTCTCTCTCTCTCTCTCTCTCTCTCTCTCTCAATTGGTAAGACATACATTATTTTAAATTATTAAAATTTTTAATTTTAAATATATTTTCAATTTAATTCAAACCTTTATTGTCTAGTTAGACATTTATTATACCCATTATGTAAATAATCTGCAATATTGACATAATTGGCCAGTACACTTAATTAAACTACAATAATAAACGCACGCACTAAGAATGCCCTTATAAAACATTGATGTCACTTATGGTTAATAAAATGCACGATGATCTTAATTAAAAACAAAATGTTTATCCAACAAATTGCTTTTATATCTCATGATCACTAAACTCTTTATTATATTGTAGGCAATATAGACGCACACCTGTAGTTAACTCTAATACACATTATTAAATTTTGTCAATATTTTACATTAATTATTAATATTTGTTTCCCCATTGACTAACATTACGTCAGTAACTATCCAGTCCGTCAATATATATCCGCCAATCTGAAATTCGAATATCTCCTAAACCAAATGAGCTGGATCAAATCTGTAACTTGTGAAATGATGTCCCATATATCTAGTTTTTTACCAGAAAAAATTATTGAAATCACGTAACTAGAACAAAAAAATTTTGGGCCATTTTAATTTGTCATAGTTTTAGCCCAGTTGAAAGGGGGGTCGGAAAGGTGAGGGTATGTTATTCGATAGAGGAGATGTCAAAGTATATTATAGCAAAGTTTCATAAACATCGAATAAATAGTATTTCGTAACGAACATTATATTCAAGAAATTTGACATAATATTTGGCAAAAATTACCCAAAAGTTGTTATTTTTATACTACAATTTAGTAGTTAAAAGAATACTACTCCAGAACAAATTTTCCCATAGACCTAATGTTAAAGAAATCATCAATTTCTCGTAGATGGCTAAACTAATCTTAATAAAATTATGCCATCATATACTTTGACATCTCCTCTATCGAATAGCTTATCAGCCCCTTTCCGACTCCCTTTCAACTGGGCTAAAACTATGACAAATCAAAATGGCCCAAAAAATTTTATGTTCTAGTCACGTGATTTCAATAATTTTTTCTAGTAAAAAACTAGATATATGGGACATCATTTCACAAGTTACAGATTTGATCCAGCTCATTTGGTTTAGGAGATATTCGAATTTCAGATTGGCGGATATATATTGACGGACTGGATAAATATGTTTTCTATGACCAAATATAAACTTATTTTATATAAAAAGTGTGTAATTTTGAAAATTGCACACATAATATAACTGTCAGTATTGGGTGGTATAATGGCTTAAACTTTATTAAATTTAATGTTAAATATGATATAATTTATGTTTTAGCTCTCGTTTAAGTACACTAATGCTAATACGTAAATAACCCCAACGAGAATATTACAGAATAGATACAATCAATTATCTCTATATAAATTGAACAATATTTAAGTTTAATATTTTATAAGTTACAGAATATTCTGTTGCGTGGGTTTGTCTATTGTCTGTGGCGCTGAGAAGTGCAGGCATACAGTGTTTTAAAAGTTATTTCTATGAATATTAAACCAGAATATTATTATAAAAATTATATGAAATTCTTGCCAAGCAATCAACTATTTGAATTAAAGGTAAATTATTATTTAATTTATTTATTTCACTCACTGACTCATTAATTAATTCTACTAATGATCCAGATGATAGCGCCGGTTGAATATACCATGGACACTAATGGACTAAAAATAGTAAACCTCGACATAGAGTCGGGCAACGGGTACGCCAACAAACCTGAAGTGGACACCAATCCCAAAGTGACGGCCGCCGCTGCCCTACGGGACAAATACCAGTGCTCGGCTGAAGAGAAACGATCCGGTCTGTGCCGGCTGCTAAAGATCCAGATGGCTTTTGGTGTGTCGTATTGCGGCAATTGTCCCATATTCAATAGCTACGTGCTAAAAAAGGCTATACTTATCAGCTACGACTGTATCGTTATTATCTCGTTCGCGTTGTTTGAATATTTTGCCTTTTCTAATGATGTGTTTAGCCGCCTGTTTAATAAGGCTACTAATAAAGGCATCATGAGCATTTTATTTGGATTCGCAGCGTTCTCTATGGCTATGGAGTTCTTCGCTATTAAAACCTTGTTGCTTAAAAATGGTTGGGACCTTATCACTGTACTTCGCAGCATAGGTGGGTTTACCCTATTTTTGTTATATTATTTAGCATTTTACGTATAAAATTTTTTATTAATTTATATAGGGAATATAATTAATTGATTTTATTATTATAAATTCATTAAGGCAAAATGTGCAACAGAGGCATATTATCAATATCCCAGTTCCAGACCCGGCTAATCGACATATTTCTAATCTTGATGGCCATAACATTTGCCTTTTTGTTGCCCATAAACTACACATCTCTGGACCAATCGATGACAAGTGTTTACAGCGAAGAGAAACTAAAGACCATTGGGTTCTTCATTGTCGGTCTCTTCTATGGCATGAATAAGTTTTCCATCACTTCGCTAATGCTATTCACGGCTTTCGCCATCAAAAAGCTTATTAGCGGTCAGTATATAACTTGTACTTTGCATTTAATTATATTATTTTCAATATAAGTGTGTATTAAAAACATTATTTTGAAATTGTAAACCTACCAGGAAGACACTATCCTTGATATTGATATGTACATTAAGTACTGATGAATTATTCAAATGCTATAATCTACCACAATTTAATTATTTACCTACTAAGTTAACTATTATTAACTATTATTAACTACTATTGAGGGTTGTGTTCTCCTGGATAGTGTATAAATTATTTTCATTTAATTAGATGTACAGTATATAAAGTGTTAAAAATCACTTTAAGCGTTTAACCTAAGAATAGGCTACTTAACTCTAATGTAATCCTGTCAAAGTATTAAATTATAATTATACATTGAGTTACAAAATTGTCCTGCCTTAGTTTAGCTTTAGTGCAGATTTTATGACATTTCTATTACTTCAACCATATAGATTGGACCAAGGGCCTACAAACTAACACCATCAAGATCCAGACATTATGCGAAAATGTACTAACCCTGCGCACCCTACTCGAGACCACAAACGACCAGCTTGGTATGATTATGCTGATCAAGGTGTTCGTGAATGCCATGTTCATGTCATCCACGGTATGCTCGATGTCGGTCGGATTTCTGCCCTACAACGCTATCATCGGTATAACCGGATTCACTGTCACATCGATACTGGACATCGTATTTCTGTGCTACTCGTCTCAGATCATGATCAACTCAATGGCCGCCCTGTGCAAGCAGGTAGAAAAGACCTTGATCACCGATGGTGTATATGGCGACAACGGCACCGATCACTACAAACAGCTGAATGTCATTTTGTCGATGAAAGATAGCATTAGGCTTAAAGTGTTATCTCTGTTTGATTTGAAAACAGTCACAATATTGGCAATTGTGGGTTATGTTACCAATTATGCCATTATTCTTATACAGACTACAAGTAATGATAAGTCTAATGGTGAGGGATTTAAGCTACCTTTCAATATTACATTACCATAGTAATTACCCGTATAAAGTTAGTTTATTAAGTACCAGATGAGGTTCCCCGTGTCTTTTTATACCATATATCATTATTGCATATATGGCAAAAGTTAGATTTTTTCAAATCTATTTAAGGAATCTGTAGATTAAAACAAAACTATTTAAGTTTAGTTTTAATGTAAATTCATGACAGCTTAAACTCTTAAATGTACGTAGATGACAAAACTGGCATGTCTTAACTTATCTGTTTAATTTACTTCAAAGTTTAATTGTACGTATAATTTATCTAAACTATACAAGTTTTAAGCAGTTTTTTTTAATTACATAAGTATTCAAATAATTATAACAAGAATTATTGCCAAATTACAAATACATTTATTATAAATAAATAAAATATAAAACTAAATAATTTTATTGAGCACATTTGTAATTTTTCTAACATGTATGTTTATCTTATATAAATTAATCAACATGAGATTTTAAAAATAAAACTTATTAATTAACACTAACATTATAAATTATTAACATTAAATAACAAACTGTAACACAGTTTGTACAATACTCAATATGTATATTTATATTTGATTGTAAATGTTATATTTGGAAATTGAATTCCTAATAACTTTAATTATTTATTACTCAATAGTCAGATACCTATTATATTTTACAATTAATAAATGACAAATTAAAATACAAAAATTTAATTAAGACAGAAATTATTTGTAAAATGCAAACACAATTTATTTTAAATAAATTATTTTGACTTGGTCAAACAAAATAATTATCATATTTGCGTAAGTAGAATGTATACTGTAATTTATTAATTTCCCCGTAAGAACACTTTTGCATATTTAATAAATGTTAATTTAATATTTATTATATCAGGGACATTTATGCTAGACTAAAAGTTAACCATAAGTCAAACATTAAAAGCATACGATAAGATTATTCAGTGTTGAGTATTTAGCCATATATGGCAAATAAAATAAATATATAACCAAAACAATAATAAACACATTAAATATAGACCCCTGAATAGCATGATTATATTGGATGAATTGTTTTATAGTAATTGATCATGATAATTTATGATACTCCCTCATTGCTAATGCATAATAGTATTTGTGTGCGAGATATAAATGTGAGCATGGTATTAACCAAATGACTAATCATTGATTTATTGGTTTTATTTTTTACAATTGTAACTAAAATGTCTCACAAATTGATCAAAAAGTGTTAATTGCAAAAATACGAGCCATCGGGACATCGATTATCTGATGAGACAATCAATCAGTTATGCTATCAATTGGTCGAACAGGGATTGAGCGCACGGTTGACATCAATGGTTGAGTTGTGGCCAAAAACATCGACAGCTAATCACCGCTGGAACCGCTGTAAGCTTCACAACACACCCCAACTCATAACCCCTAACACTGAAAGTAATTAAGGTGGCAGTGAAAGACAATATCTGGATTATCACGGATGTGGGATAATTCAATACAATTATTGTGATGCTATTCACAGTAATGAATGATTGGATACTGTGCCATAAATGGAGTACACTAACCACTTTGCATACAAGTTGTAGTTCACTATATGTAGTCACAGTATATTGGAGTTTAGCAATACATATTCATTATTGAAAGTATACTCAAAAAATTCACAGTAATTGCGAATTCAGATCTATTATTGAATATATTCACATAAATTTGTTTGAAATGCAACTCATTTTTATATTTGAATTGTGCTATCTGTTTTTAAATTAATTATGCAATAATGTTGCAATATGTTGTGTGCATTAATGTTGCAATATGTTGTGTGCATTATGTTGTGTGCATTATGTTTTGTGCATTATATTTGTTTATATAAAATAAATACTATGTATTGTATTAATGGCCAGCCTTATGCTATCACACCATATGGTGTATACAGCGTATAATTGAACATATCATTTATATCTCAATTACAATTACATTCCGACCATGTTTTTGGTCATTTTACTATTCACTTGGTTTTCATATGCATGTATATGAATACAATTAACGGTAATGTGAATACCAAACGGCTTTAAATTAATTTATAGCCGTTTGGTATTCAATCAATTTAATCATTATTTTTAACTAAATATGTTTTTAGTTGTCTGTCACTGTTTAGTTGTGTTATCATACCATGTAAAGTCATTGAATATGTTCACTAAATATTCACCAAATTCAATCATGTTCACAAAAATATATGTGTTATAGAAATGACTTTTAAAACGTTTGCAGTTCACTCATATGCGCACAGAATGACACGTGAATGGCATCAATATATTATTGGTGTTCATGAACTTAAACCAATAAGCGAGAACAAGTTCTCACTATTTACTTTTTGACATAAATCACGTTAGCTATTAAAAATGAATGTATCTTTTTGGTGCGATAGTCCACGGTAAATTCATTTTCGGTGAATATGAACCATATTCACAGTACTACCTGTGAATCTGGCCACCTTTTTTTTTAACAGTGTAAGCCCTACCTCTACCCCAACCCCTCCCCCACTTAATGTATAATTGATAACAACTAACGCTATTATATTTATCGATTCAGATAATGATCCAAATGGTGGACACAATGTGGGCGATAAACACCGGCCAAACACTCAGTGATCAACAATTCCTCAAAACACTCTTTGGCCGACTTTTTTGCGTACAATTGGCGTGAATTGCAATGATATGTATGCATACGTGTGCCACACATGAGTGACCGCTCGACCGGAAGGGTGTTTTTGTATGGCGTGGGGTATAGTGGGAGACGGGTTGTCGCCATCACCGGTGGACTCGGGCCGCGCCAAACAACCGCCCGACCGGGTTCTTGTCACTGGGCCGCCCGTCCGACCGCCCGCAACGACAACCCGCACCCCTCGACAATCACGTGTTGTGGTCTATCCGAGGCCTACGTGCTAGTTCTGATCTAGATGGGGTAGTAGGCTATGGACTCTTCACGTGATTGGCTGGGGGTTTAGAGTGCGGCCATACAGTGGCCATCACTGGCCATAACAGCGGTGGCGGTTATATTTACCGGCAATGAGTGGGCTATTGAGATGACATGCAATTATGGATCGATACGTAAGTGAAGAATGGCTTTGTTTCTGAAACCAAAGATTAACTTTTTTGTTTGTTTAAAGGATCCAATGGTCAACCAATGGGTATTAAATTTGATGACAAATTAAAGGCAAACCATTTCAAGACAATAATAATGGACTGAAGACTCGATTTATTTGAATAGTTGTTTGGATTTAAGTTTTCAATTTGTGAGCCATTCATAAGATTGATGACAGGTATTCACAACACACCCCAACTGTTAACCCGTAGCCCTACCTCTACCCCCAACTTCTCCCCCACCCAATGTATCAATGATAACAACTAACGCTATTATATTTATCGATTCAGATAATGATCCAAATGGTGGACACAATGCCGACACAAGACAAACATCTCAAGAGGTCTCGCCGTTGAGGTCAACAACGAATGAAAAGTTACAAAAGAGTGGATGTATTGGATGTCATCCCTGAACAGAACAATGAAGACCAGCCAACTATCGATACCACATCTCAAACAACTTATTATTTTATTGTTAAACCAATTATTTATTTTTATTAAGTTTTGTATTGATTTTTGTATTATTTTTTGTATTTATTATTTTGTTGTATTTGCTGTAAGTTTTCCTCCCGTTTAGCGATCGTCTGTGTCTTCATTTAATCCATGGTTTACTGTCTTATTCAGCGATTGATTCACGTTTTCGTTGTATTCTTCCTTTGTTTGCATCACTTGTTATTGTGTTTCATCTGTTTTTCAATTCATTTGTCGATCATTTAACGGACTCTTCGCTGGTGTGTATCGATGTATGAATCGGGTTTGAGTTCCCTATTGTTAACACCTATTTAATGGGACAGTGGTTGTGGTCAACGGTTCCGCCCACCGGATCACCCGTACTGCCCAACCATACCGTAATGCGTGGCCTATGACTTCAAGTCCTGTTGATTCGCCACTTGTCGCGAGCGAGCGATCCCTTAATGATTTGCGGTGCGATCAGTGCAGACACCGACAGCGATAACTGTAAGGCCTGTACGGTATGGCCCCCGCATTCCTGTTCACACATCTCTCCACCCGTACGGACAACACGCGCGTCTGAATCACACGTGGTATATACCGATAATAATAGTTGAGTGCACCTATTAGTAGGCCAAAGCGCACACAAAGTTGAATGGTATGTACAATGTATGTGAACGTTGGCGACACCGCTGTTTCTCTACCCCAACTATTCCATCGTTGCCAACCATTGCTGCGCTAACAGTGGATGTTAAGCCCGGTATGTTTATACCGGCAGCGTTGGCCAACGGTCTGCTACTGATTGACATCTCGGTAAACAACAGCGTGTTATTGTTATCAACACACATCGTATAATGTGTTGGGAGACAAATGGGTTCATGATTTGCGGCGCTATGAGTGACGACACCGCCAGCGAGAATTGCAAGGCCTGTGCGTATGGCCCTTACAGTCCTATTCCCACATCTCTCGACCACCCATACCGACGACACCGCGTCTAAACCGCCGGCGATACCAATGATTGCCATTTATCCAGGTATAGGAACCAGGTTTTGTACATATAACGTATAATACATGTGGTCAGTCCTACGACCAAAAACCTACACCACCTAGGGGCCACACCATCGGCATGCCGGGCCATCTAGATTTTGTTTGTTGCACCCACTTTGCTCAACAAAGTTGCTAACTTATAAGAGATGTCCGTAAATGTCGTTTCAGTTTAAGGTTTTGTTCGGTTTTGTTATTTACAACGAGTGTCTTTTTATTTAAATATACAGTGCATTTATTGTGTGAATCATTACAAACAAAATTATAGTCAAAATAAGGCAATTACTGAAGTTTATAAATACACCAAATTTTTTAACAAATAAGATAAAATTAATTAATTTTATTGCGATAAAAAGTTTACAACAAGAGTACATATTATTTAATTTACTAATATTCACATAAGACCAATATCTAATATTTTAATATTAATACAGTAGTAATCTACTTATATAAGAATAATTATTAATTATTAAATGTAATAATTTATCATATGAGAATTTTAACTGATATCATCACATGCTTAATTACGAATTTGATAAATTATGGTTATACAACACAAAAATAAAATACTACTTTATAAATTAGCTGCATAACCAACATTTGTTTTAATTAATAATTATAAACAATTTATTGAAATTTAAAAAATCATGTTAACATTTTAAACTCATTATGCTAGAGGTAGACTTATAGAGCCGGTGCCACACTCTTTATCATCTGCGCGGACACAATCAATGGGAGACAAAGTATTTCTGTCTAAACACACATAAATCTGTTGTAACAATGGGTGGGACTCATGGGGCCAACACTCCAGCTCTACCCGCGCGCCCACCTTTGCCTCCACAGCCTTTCGCACACTTTGTATGGTATATGCGGTAGTGTTTGAGGGCGTAATACCCGCCGCCTGGAGCCAGTCCTGGAACGGGAACCGATCAAACAGTCCGAGTGTGCCCTCAAAGTACTTGAGATGACCCTTCAGGGGTGCGCTAAGCATAGCACAGGTGCCGTGTTTTTCCCACTCGTGGCGCCAGAACGCGCGGTGCGTACCCGACGATTTGAGCGAGGGCCATTTCTTGAACAGTACCTGTTCGAGGCCTTCAATTAGGGTCCAATTAAAGGTGTGCTCGAAGCAACAGTCGCCAATTTGAGGCCCTGTACCCAACAGATTAGGCCACGCGCCATGTATTGTAAACGCGTTGCGGTTCCGGGTGCCGCACTTGGTATGGGCGCAAAAACTTGGCGCCCATTGTATGGACAACAATAAGTAGTCAAATGTTTGGTTAGTACGGCAGGTGTCGAGCGCCCAATCCTGGTGTTCAGACCGTTCTCCCCACTCGTCTACCGGTGCCCCCATAGACAGCCCGCATAACACTAGTATTATTATACCAATTGTTGAATGCATTGTATTATATATTGCTATTCGACTGAATGTCTGTATGAGAAAACAAATCCGGATTTGTTTTATACCCTGAGTTTATAAATATTTAATCCAATTACAATTGTTAAATTGTGATAAGGTTAATTTATTTTATTCTATTTTTAAATAGTAAAGTTACACTTGTACTGTATACTTATTGCATACACATGTTATTATACACATAAAAATTAAAAAACACATATTATAATGTATATTATCATTTTATATTATTATTTCAGTTATGATTTACTAGGAATTATGATTTAAATTAGTAGATAAAGGTTTCAAAAACGTCAATATGGTATAAACTCACAATAATCAAAGTTAATATCATAGTAAAGCATATTTTGCAATTATTTTACTTCATGTCAGATTTAGTAACTTGTTAATTTTCAATATTTAATGTAAACTGTACATATGTATGATTAATCTAGATGTAGGTATTAATAAGAATTTATTTAGAATTATTTATGGAACAGATGGGTCCTATTAACTTATTCTATTACAAAAAGTATTGTACCATCAGCAATATTTTGAATAATTTTTATTGTACTTTACAAAAAATAATAAAATTATATACATAAATTAGATTTATATTAAAACAATTAAGCTAATGGCAAAGTAACCGAGCCTTTGCCGCACTGTCTATCATCGGGTCGGACACAATCAATGGGTGCCAAAGTTTTTCGATCCAAACATACATAGATGTGCTGTAAGAGTGGCCAGGGATCATGGGCCCAGCACTCCAACTCCACCTTGGTCCCAGTTTTACTTTCAACCGCCTTATGTACACTTTCTAAACTATAAGCCTCCGTATTTGAAGCTACTATACCGGCCTCCCGGAGCCAGTCCTTAATTGGATACTTGTCGTACAGATCAAGTGTTGTCTTAAAGTACTTGCGCTGACCCTTCAAGGGTGGGCTATCCATAGCACAGGTGCCGTGTTTTTGCCACTCGTAGCGCCAAAAGTCTACGTCACTGCCTTTAGCCGTAAGGTTTGGCCATTTGCTGGCCATCTCAGCCTCCAGTGGCGCGACAGATGTCGGATGAAATTGATGTTCAAAACAACAGTTGGAAATCTTAGGCCCCGAGCCTAATAGGTTAGGCCACGCGCCATGTATTGTCCAATCGTTGCGGTTCCGGTCGCCGCAATTCATTTGCTTGCAAAAACTGGGCACCCATTGCATGGCCAACACTATGTAATCAAAGGTCTGGTCTTTTCTGCAGGCGCTGTAAGATCTACTTAACTCATCATGGTTGTGATAATGGTCACCATCATGGTCGTTAGCTACCGAGGCAGCCATTGACAGCGCGAATAATACTTTAATTATTGTTAACCAATATGTTGTATATAAAGTTTATATGCGTTACTGTGGAAATATGATAATATCATATTATGGTATTATACCCCGAGTCTACATCTAACCATGTTATCTCTGCTAATTGTGATAATGTAAATATTAATATTTTTATTTAATAATTTATAACTTATAAATTGTGATAATATTTCAGCGTGTTATAATTTTGTTAAGTTATTAAGCTTTATGGTGAATTCTTACTATAATTGTTATTTAGATATTTAATTATTATGTTAGCAATGTCAAAATACTTTCTTACAGTGCATTTAATTGCAATTTTATTCAATTCATATTAAAGTATCGCAACAAATTATCAGTACACTTTACATTGCACCATAGTGAATTAGTGCACCAAGTGTTATAAATCATACAATTTTACTTAAATTCTACATTGTGATATTAACTATTTATTACACACTTGAAGTTATACAGAGTGCAAAGTTATACAAGGTGCAAATATATTTTATTTTAAACCTATACCTTAACTCTAACATAAAGCAAACGTGTATTAAGATTAGATAAGCATGTTGCATAATGGGCAACCAAATGTATGCCATTATTTATTGCGGTTTTTGGACTGCAATTCTATATAAATCAATAAAATCATTTAAACTATATTATACAGTATATTAACTTATCAAATCTTTGCATTGATTGTATACATTACAATAAATCTGATAATCATGCTAACTAATGACAAATATTATACATTTTACTTTACGTATTAAATTGTATAATTACAATATATTACGCACAATTCCTTAATATACTTACATATTAATGTGGTAAATATGATACATTAGAGTATAAAGTTAAGACCATTAAAATAATTTATAG